TAGAGTGTGATAGTTTTTTATTTTACTTCAATTTGGTTTTGCTTAGCAGCATTGGGGAAATTTGCTTTTTTCCTTCCTTTCTTCTATTTTCTCCCCCCCTTTATTAAGGGCTAAGAGTAGTTTAGAGAAGGAGCAATCTGGGAAGAGCTGAGAAACAAATGATCCCATAGGATTACAGGAGAGTTCTTTTCTATTAGTGCTGGTGGTATATTTACCTATTCATTCCCCTACTTTTATAAATTAAAAAAGTATGTTTGAAATACTTCAAACATACAAAAAAGTAAAAAGACTAATATAGCAAAGACCACCACTCAGATTCTATAGATCTCAAAAAATCAGTCATTTTTACAGAAAGAAATAAAACACAGATATTATGGAAGTCTTATCTCTATCTTTCTTGACCCTGTTTTCTTCCTTCTGAAAAGTTGTACATGTTTTAAACTTGGTATGTTTTCTTCTGGTCTGTTTTAATATTTTTACTACATATATATGTACATTTATATATCCCATAAAGAATATAATGTTTTTAAATTTCTGCTCCCCCTACTTTTGAACTGTAAGAAAAATGAAACAATGGTATTTAAGAAAATCTGGAGGAGAAAGCACCCATAATCCCATGGCTTTAATACAGATATTTCATATTGTGGCCTCACCCATATGTGTGCTATCCTTTACAGAATTGCAGTTGGAATGTGCATAGCGTTTTGTCATCTTTCTTCTCCATCTTTTTTTTTTTTTAAGTTTTATTTTTCAACGTTTTTTATTTATTTTTGGGACAGAGAGAGACAGAGCATGAATGAGGGAGGGTCAGAGAGAGGGAGACACAGAATCTGAAACAGGCTCCAGGCTCTGAGCTGTCAGCACAGAGCCCGATGCAGGGCTTGAACTCACGGACCATGAAATCATGACCCGAGCCAAAGCCGGCCGTCTAACCGACTGAGCCACCCAGGCGCCCCATTCATAATTATTATTTTGGGGACTGTGGAACATAACTGTTGACATATAGTTTTCAGCAAGCTATTTGGAAATCCTCTGGTGGACCAAAAGCTCTTGACAGTGGTCACCTTTGGTCCAAATCATGGAAGTAGGGACATTTTTACTTTTCAGTGTATAGCTTTCTGTGCTGTTTTTTCCCAACCATACCCATAAATTATTTTACCTTAAAAGTAGGTAAAACAATTTTTTTAAATGATAAAATATCTTGCTCTCTGCAGAAAATAATCTAGAAAAAAGAGCCCTTACCTTTTAATGTTGTGGCAAAGTCACTGAACTTGGAGACAGAAAGCTGGATTTTAGCTCTTGAGCATGTCATAAATTTGGTCTCTCTTATCTATAAAGTGGAGCCAATATATTGTCCTATTACCTTGTTTTGGAGATTAAAACAATGTATCTGAAAGCACTTGGTAAACTATAAAATTCCCTAGATTGGAGAAAAAAAAAAACACCCTAGTAAAGCACATAAAATTTGGGTACCTAGGATTCAAAGACTAATGTCAGAGTGCCTGGACTAACGTGAGCTCAGGTATGGCATGGCATCTGGAGGCACTCCTGCTGGCTTTCAGGGTTCAAAGGGCACAATTCATTTCTGAAATTAGGAGTGACTCATGGGAGATAGAATTTGTCTTAGGTTTCTTCAATTCATGAGGAATGTGTTCTTGGAATTCTTTATCTGCCCTGTTAGCTGGAAATAGAGTATCATAAAGACAAGATTTCCATTAGCCTAACATTTCCCATAAGTCTTTGTAGACTTTAGTTATAGCATTATCTTAGGAGTTGTGTGTTACTTATTTGTGACTGAAGATAGGAAGGAACATATTAATGAGGGTAACACAGTCTTCTATGGCATGTTGTCATAAAGCATTACAAATGAACTACTCTGAAAAACAAACCAACCAAAGGCATTTTTAAGGCAGTAACAGCCTTGGAATCTTTTTATTGCTCACATATGCTTATTAGCTAATCCACCAAACAAAAATGTATGCACTTACTAGCACTCCTGTGTAATCAATGAATGGGGCCCCTTCAACTGGTATAACTTTGTGTAATGATATAGAGGCATGGGAGGGGAGGGTCCAGCATTATGAATACTCATCATAATTCCAGTGGATTAATGTGCAGGGTCAGGAAGAAGTGGCCGTTTCACCTTTAGCTAGGCTGACGTGCAGCCAGGGGCTCTTTCTTCCTCTTTGGCATTAGAGGACTGGGTGGAACAGGTCCAGGACCTGGGAGGGGAATGCTTTCTTTGGTTGCAGGACTTTCCCACTTCCAGCCACTGTGAATCATAAACCTTCAGAGTCAGAGCTTACTTTAAAAATGAGAACACAGAGACATGGAGAGGTGAAATGTTTTATCCAAAGTCACTCAGGCCTACAATGGCAGCACTGGTGTTAAAACCCAGGTCCTCTGACCACCAGCCTTTGTTTATGTGGGATTTCTGACTCTACTTCTCATCCACCAGGAATGACAATGATATTAGGTCCCCTGGGGCTAGAGAATCTGCAGGGGAGCTAAGGCACCAGTACTCAGGAGACCCATCTTGGGAGAGAGAGTTGCACATAAGCTTGGAGTTGGTGTGAGACAAGCTCTCTGCCAAGTAATAGAGGCAGGGACTAGGAGATTTGCTTGGCAGGGACTGGAACTGTAAGGAGGTGGAAGTGGGGAAACCAAGAATGGAGAGGAGACGCAAGGGCACCATTTCCAGGGTTGTGACTGGGTGGCCCTTTACACACCCTGAAATACATTAGGTTTTATGCAATGAAACAGCTCATGCATTGCTTCTAAGGGAGGTCTAATTTCATTCACACCGAGGGATTTGAAAAAAAGGTTCACTAAGAAATCCCTTAATCCTACCCTTCCTGGTAGTATTTTGGAGCTGCCATGAAAAATTCATTTTGGGTGACTCCAGTGCTCTCTGTTGGTTAAAATTAGGAATTGCACCATACAGCCAGGTAGAAGATTCTTTATGGGGCTAAATGAGGCAGGGAGGAGAAAGAGAACAGCATCAAGAACATAACTGGTGAATTTGGGGGTGAAGAGGGAACACTTTTCCCTAAAGCTACATGAGATAATCTAGATAAAACCACCTAGAAGCAAGCCTGCCATGCAAGAGATTCTTGGTGATGTTCTGGTTGTGTTTGAGTCAAGGTGGACTCCATCTGGGCTGAGAAGATAAAATTATGATATTGCTAAAGTTTCTCTCTGCTCCAGAGTGTGGGTGGGGTTTCCCTCTCATGGACTCTCTAGCACTCAAACTTGCTTTTGGGAATAGATTTGATAAGCCTTTGCACACTGAGGTGTAAATGATGGATAATAGCTTAGAGCAGCAGTCCACAGGTGGGTTGGGCGAACCTCAAGGTGTTAATAGTTATTCCTTGGCAAACAGAGTTCCATAGTTAATTAAGTTTGTGAAGGGTCATTTCCCATGGTCCTCTCCTGGCGATTCACAGTACATGCTGTATTTTAAAGGCTTAGAGAAATTGTGTAGTAAAGAAACTGCCTTAATTTGTTTAATCCAGCATTTCATAGACTTTTTTTGACCAGGGAATCTTTTCTTCCCGTGGGATATCTACTATCATCTTGAATAAAGCTTGTCGAGAAACCTAGAAATATAGTATGATCCTGAAGTGTTAATATTTTTTTATTTTTTATTTTGTTGTGTTAAGAACACTTAACATGCCATCTATCTTTTTGACAAATTTTAAGTGTAAAATACATTATTGTTGACTATAGGGATAATGTATGGCAGATCTCTAGAACTTATTCATCTTACTTAACTGAAACTTTGTGCCCGTTGAGTAATAACTCCCCATTTCCTTGTCCCCCAACCCCCCTTCGTGGTAATCACTATTCTAGTCTTTGATTTTATAAATTTGCATATTTTAGATATCATATATATGTGGAAATGTGCAGTACTTGTCTTTTATATTCTGAACCAGGGATAAAAACATGAACCTCTAATTGGGGGATTTTAGCCAAAGGGCAAGGATGTGTGGTCTAACATTGGGCTGCAGAAATCACAAGCATTGACATTACTAAGGAAACACTTTCTGCTACCCCTTTCAAGTTTGCCTCTCTGTCCCTGCAGCTGAAGTGCCTCAGTCAGACCCTGGGTGCAACTTGCGGCCAGCTGGCTTCCCTCATTCCTAACTCTGTCTCTCCTCTCCTTCCAGGCAGACATCTTCTCTGGGGCCATATTCATCAACATGGCCTTGGGTCTGGATCTGTATTTGGCCATCTTTCTTTTATTGGCAATCACTGGTCTTTATACGATCACAGGTGAGTCCTACAAATGACTCAACTGAAGCCCAGGAAAGGAGGAGGACCTAGGAGACATAGCTTCTTCTCTCAATAAAGAGAGATACACCCAAGAAACAGTTTTAGGATGGAGTGTTTGCTTAGTCCCCACTCTCAGGCCCTAACAAGTTATACGGGGCCCCCAGAAAACTCCAGTGTTGGGTGGAATAGTCAGGACAGCTTCTTCTAGGAAGTGGGGCAGGGCCTGGCCTTCCAGGTTGTGGATAGAAGTTGGGAGAATTAGAGAGGGAGTGCCAGGTGCAGGGATAGGGGAGAGCAGGGAATGGAGTCAGGAATGGGCATGGCATGGGTTTGGGCCAGTGTGAGCAAGTAGATGTGTTTGGCTGGAGATGGGTGGTCAATGGGAGGTACCTGGGGTATGTGTGTGGGTGATAAGTCCTGACAGTTCAAATGAGGCCACAGTGCAAGGGTCCTGGAAGCCAGAAGGAGGCTTTGGGTTTGATGTGACAGCCACTGGGAGGCACTGTAGGCAGGAAGAGAGGGAGTGACACATACAGAGATTTTAGAAGAAGACTCAAGAGATGAATGGAGAAGCTAGTGACAGGAAGAGCAATTGGGGACACCTTTTCGGAAGTGTTACTCTGTTCTAGGTTGGGGAGGGGGCTGGGTCAGTAATGAAGTTTGCTGTGTAGCTGGAGTCCCACAGCTTTTGGGACAAGAAATTACTTAGAGCAGCTCGGGCGGCGGGAGGAGTGGTAGCGGCCAGGCAGCCCAGCTTCGCGAAGGCTCTCGGTGCGCGGCAGCCCCCATGCAGCCGGCACGTGCCCACCCCGCCGCCACGATGCCCAAGAGGAAGGTCAGCTCCGCCGAGGGGGCGGCGAAGAAGGAGTCCAAGAGGAGGTCAGCTAAACCTGCTCTTGCAAAAGTGGAAATGAAGCCAAAAAAGGCGGCGGGAAAGGAGAAATCTTCAGACAAAAGAGTGCAAACAAAGGGGAAAAGGGGAGCTAAGGGAAAACAGGCTGAAGTGGCTAACCAAGAAACAAAAGAAGACTTACCTGCAGAAAACGGAGAAACTAAAAACGAGGAGAGTCCAGCCTCTGATGAAGTAGGAGAGAAAGAAGACAAGTCTGATTAGTATCATATCCCATGTCTTACCAGTGGTCCCTGTCTCCCTTCTTGTACAATCCAGACATTTTAAATTACTTCTATTCCCACGTTGTTTATGCTAGAATTGTTTCCTAAAGAAAACCACTCCTTGATCTTGCTTGGCTCTCCCTGTCAGAATTTTGTGCATTCTGTAACATGTTGGTTGTGGTAGTCCAGTTTCCTAGTAACCTTGTTAATGTCTTGTGCAAGATTGAAAATTTGAGTATGTAGTGTATATGACATTAAATTGTGAATTAATGGGACTTAACAGTGTAACAGCATATCAACATTTGAAGATACCAGTACTTGATATACTGTTAAGGGAAATTTGCCTCCAATTTTAAGCTGGAAGTTCACTGTAATAACTTTGAGAAAAGAACCACAGCTACATGGTTTTTTTTAGGTTTTCGGTATGTACGTTAAGAATTGTGTACAAATTGAATTGTCTGTACTGATCCTCAGAACAACAAATAAAAACTCAATTATGAAAGAAAAAAAAAGTTACTTAGATGGTCTGAGTAAAGAGAGAACAGACATGCTAGTGGCCCTTTGAAATGTGTTGATTCAGTAAAGTCCCCAGACACCTTGTAGAGATGTCTACTCCTTGCTCTTCCCTGTCTTCGTTTGTGGAAGACATGTTTTTTTAATGTTTATTTATTTTTGAGAGACAGAGAGAGCACGAGGGGGGGATGGGCAGAGAGAGAGGGAGACACAGAATCCAAAGCAGGCTCCAGGCTCTGAGCTGTCACCACAGAGCCCGATACAGGGTCTGAACTCAGGAGTGGTGAGATCATGACCTGAGCTGAAGTCAGACACTTAATGGACTGAGCCACCCAGGCGCCCCTGTGGAAGACGCTTCTTACCATAACCATCTCCTTTGAGCCATCTCCTACCTTCAAATGGTTGCATCAAACTCTTCCTCCTCAAGCAGGGAGAAATATTCAATTTCCAAGGCCTTCCCAGCGTTGTGAAAAGTGGAGGTGTGGGAACATGCTAGGTAGCAGACTACTGTAAAAGAACAAGAGAGGGAAGGAAAGTTAGGTGACTGAGGGGTGTGCTCAGAGGGTGTGCAGAGGGAGAGGGGCAGGCAGTGGGCAAAGGAGGTAGGCTGACAGGTTGTCCTCCTATATGAGGTCAGACATATTGTCTCCTTTGTCTGCTTAGGGGGCCTGGCAGCTGTGATTTACACGGACACCTTGCAGACAGTGATCATGCTGGTGGGGTCTTTTATCTTGACCGGGTTTGGTAAGTGGGGCTGGGGCAGACTGGGGAGGTGGGGTGGCAGAGTAAGAGGCCCAGGGAAAGAAAAGCAAGCCTAGCCTCCCTGCCTGTTGCTGGTCCGGGAAGTAAGCCCGGTACCCTCTGCCCTCTCTAGGGGAGTGGTCCAGCCTAGATTGGCCATCACTGTGGGTGTACAGAGGGCACCTTCCTCAGCCCTGGAGATCTCAGACTAGGCCAGGCGCAGACAATACCTGGATTCCCTACTGCTCTCTCTAGATGGACTGAGCCAGTGGTTCCCAATGTGGGCCTCTGATGTCATGGTCTGCTCTCCACAGAAAAACTGGACAAAAAAAAAAAAAAAAAAAAAAAAAAAAGGGATAAGGCTAAATATCCAGCAGGCTAAATATATTCAAACGTTAAATATCCTTTCTTTTATGAGTTAATGACAATAAGTGATCATTTTCTTGTTTATGTCCTTATTTGATAAAATTTTAAAAATTAGCCATTGTGTGTTGTCCCCTGACTCCAATTTTGAAATTTTATTTGTCTGTGAAATCCTAAAGACAAAACTGGAGACCCTAGATACAGAGGTACTTGTTATGGGAGAATATAAATGCATTTTGTTTTTAAGAGGGCCTGTACTCTCTGTGTGTCCTGTGAAGCCTCTTATCCAGTCTCTGTTCTCTTCTTTCCAAGAGCTTCTATTTGGTTTCCCCCCAGTGGTCCATGGGGTTCAGCAGGGCAGAGGCTGGAATACCTTATTCAAGGACACACAGCCAAGAGGTGGTAGGGCTCCTTACCCTTTCTCCTTACTCCTTACCCTTTCTCTGTCTGTCTTACCACATTGCCGTGACCAGGAGGGTATGACTGAGTCTGTGTGTCTCTAGGTCTCTGTGCAGGATTTTAAAGGCTGCTGCTGACAGCAAAAGGGAGGGGAAAAGAGGCCTTGAATCTTCAAAACCAAGGTCTTTCTTTTAATAATTCAAGTCTTTTCCCTTTTTTAATTAAAAAATTTTTAATGTTTATTTATTTATATTTGAGAGACAGAGAGAGAGAGGCAGAGAAAGAGGTAGACAGAGAATCCCAGGCAGGCTCTGCACTAGCAAAACTCATGAGCCATGAGATCATGACCTGAGCCGAAATTAAGAGTCAGACGTTCAACCCAGGTGCCCCAAATCCTTTCTCTTTTTAAAAAGGTTTATGGTTGAAATACTTTTACAGGTTATTGTTTTGGACCCTCAGAGTAGCCCTGCAAGGAGGTTGGACAGGGTTAATAATCCCATTCTGTGGATGAGAAGGTTGAGGCCCAGGTTGGGAAAATGACTTGCCCAAGACCACACTGCGAGGGTGATTTCTCAGGCATTCACAGGAAGAAACTTGAATTAAGAGTTGAGAGTTTCAGGATGTTTGTTGCTGATGTTTTCCAGCTTTTCACGAAGTGGGAGGGTATGATAACTTCATGATAAAGTACATGAAAGCCATTCCAACTGTGATTTCTGATGGAAACATCACCATCAAGAAAGAATGTTATACACCGAGAGCTGACTCTTTCCACATCTTCCGAGACCCCCTCACTGGAGACCTGCCATGGCCTGGGCTCACCTTTGGGTTGTCCATCCTTGCCCTGTGGTACTGGTGCACAGATCAGGTACCTATGCTGGATGTGTGGAGTGGACGGGGTGTTCCCAGGTCTCTACAGGGACTCCTGTCTGTGGCTTGTGGTAGTGGGTAAGGTAGAACAGGGCTCATGTGGTCTGGGGTCACTGAGCCTTACTGACAAGGAGGTGCCAGGCCAAGGGCCGAGGACATGTAGGAGTGTTGCTGCTAGGAGTAGCCAGAGGGCATTGAGGGGTCTCTGGCCTGCACCCCTCTCTCACTGCTTTCTCTGTCAGGTCATTGTGCAACGCTGCCTCTCAGCCAAAAACATGTCTCATGTGAAGGCCGGCTGTGTCATGTGTGGGTACCTGAAGCTGCTGCCTATGTTCCTCATGGTGATGCCGGGAATGATCAGCCGCATCCTGTACACAGGTGATGCCTTTTGCTAGACTCAGCAGCCACTCTCTTCCATTTTCCAGGCTCTGTGTAACTTCTAAAGCCCTGTAGCTCTCTGCTCTTTCTTTTCTGCCATCTTCTGTTTTTTCTTGCCACAATTACCAGGTATTATTATTCCCCCTTTAGATAGCAAACAACTTAAGGTCACAGAGCCTGTGGGGTTGTCTTTCTGGTTCCTTACATTGACAATTACTTTCTTCCCTTTTCCAAATTCTCTGAAGTCATGATACACCTCTAGCTGTAGCTTCTTCCAGCTAATATTTGCTAACTTTTTGCTCAGTCTTACTCAGGCCATGGTGGTGTGTCTTTAATGGCAAAGAACCCTGCCCAGTCTCTAATTGCTTGGTGCTCAGAGCCCTGTTTCTTGGACCATTTCCTTGAAGAGCCCTGAGTCTTGTACTTTGTTATCTAGGGTGATGGAGTCTTTCTTGGCCCTTTTGAGGCTTCTCCAGATTTCCATTTGCTTTTTTGGGTCAGCCATAATAGGTCAAAACTGTTTCCTGGAACATGAAATAATGGCAAAAAAGAGAGCACCATGGAGTGAAACTTTGGTAAGCTCTCTCCAAAATGAAGACAGGACAATCTGGGGGTACTTGCTGCCATTGGCTGTTAATCATGCTCCTAATAGTGATCTCATACTCCTATACTAGCTCACCTGTCATGAGAGTAATATTCTTAACTGAATAATTTATGATATAATAAATATAACACACTTAATATTTGAGGCAGTGCTATAATGAATCAATGCTCTACGGAACAGCACTAAAGGATATACCTATAGTAGGTACATAATTAATGTTTGTTGTTTTAATTCTAAAGAAGTTACTAAAATTTTCCCTAAGCCTCTAAATCATGTCCCCTTCCCTTTCCAGATTACCTCCTGTCTCTCTCCACTCCAGATTTTTCACATCTTAGAAGTACTACCCAACAGCATTCCTAGTGGGGAATTCCCTCAGTCATCTAGTGTTCAATCCTACTTGTAAAAGCTACTTCAAATAAACTTCAAAATTAGGAGCCACAGTTTCATTGTGATTTTCAGGAGAAACAAGACAATAGTTACTGCTAAGCTGTAGAGAGTTCCAAGCTAAAGATTGTGCCCCCTCCCTTCCTACTCTGAGCATTGCTTTGCTTCCCCCTTACTCTGCCTAAGAACCTTTTTCTCCCCAGTAAGATCTTAGAGACAGTCATACCAGCAGGGCAGGGGCATGGCATAGAAGGGCTCAATTTGGAGCTGCACTCTCTGTGGAACCAATTCAGGACCATGGGCAGGAATGTCTTGTTTGAAGCCTTGTTTTAAGAAAGCGAATCTTGGAAGTATTTCCCCAATGTCTACTTACTGACCTGACTTTTCATCTTTCTCCAGAAAAAGTTGCCTGCACTGTCCCCTCGGAATGTAAGAAATATTGTGGCACTGAAGTTGGCTGTACCAACATGGCTTACCCGACCTTGGTGGTGGAGCTCATGCCCAATGGTGAGAGTCACCTTGCTGGCAGGGTCTTTCTTTGGAGGCTGATTGGACTTATACTTTATGTAGATTTCTGCAGCCCTCTGGGGAAAAGCCATTTCTGAGCCTTGGGGCCGAGTAGGGAAAACCTCCCTCTGGGTGTCCTCAGGTTTTGAACATGTCTTCCCTCAGTGGAAGTCAGCTTATGACTTGGTTGAGCTCTATGAGACCTGGCATGTGTCCATCAGTCAGTCTTGGAAAAGAGGTGACCTGAA